TTTTTTTAAATAATCTTACTTACCTGAGTCATTTGACTTCATTATGACTAATAGGTACTATTTGAAAGAGCTTATGTGTATATGGAGAAAATTCTGCAGATAATGGGTACTGTAATTGAATAGACTGAGAAGACCAGGAATGCGGCTGTTTTAATTTGAATCATTAAATACTTGGGGCTTATGAAAAGCTAAATATCTTGGACCATCTGCACAGGCTTTTTATAAAATTATGAGATTCACAGGCAGGAAAACAATGTATCGTTTTAAGTCACCAAACCCTATCTGATAGCTCTGTTGCTTTCTGTACAGAATTTGTATTTGTGGAATTATTTTGATACAACAAAGACATTAAGGATATTTAGTTTGAGCTGCTGATTTCTCATGGTTCTTGTCCGTATGATAAAGCTGTGTAATGGGTTGGGCTAAAATTAAAGATGACGAGGGGCTTTGTACCTAGAGTCTTTGCGTGCTTGACTGCAATTCGTTCCTTTTTATGGCTCCTGCTTTGACAAGTGAAATGTAGCTGCCTTTGCTTTCCAGAATGTGTCTTGAGCGTTCCAGATGAGATGAAGCCAACTCATGGAAAAGCATGTAGACAGAGACAGCCAGTTTTTATGTTGTTCTCCACCCTACTCAATCCCCCTTGGTCACCAGGCCAGTAAAAGGTGCAGACCAGCACTGATTTTTGAACAACAGTTTCCTCTTCCATGTCACGTTTCCTCTCAGAAAACTTAGGTAATACAGTGTGATAAATTGTACTGGTAGCTGATTATCTTTATTAGTTCTTATGTTGCTAATTCTGATTGCATTTTAATCTCTCTTTTATGTAGACCATGGTTTGCTGCTTTGTTCATTAAAAGTTGTTCCAGAAACCAGGTGTGCTACATGACTTTTGAAGGACATTAGCTTCTTGGCCTGCCAAGGAGGGCAGAGAAAACTGCCTTGATATCATTGCAGGACTAAAGACTTCTCAGAGGCTTGCAAGTGATGTGTTTTGGGACAATTCCTGGCTGTCCCCAAAGAGATGGTGTGGGCTGGTTGCCTAAAGCAATTCTATTAGGGAGATTTTGTTGAGATTCAGTATGGACCTTCCAGATCATTGTGATTTTAGTTTCTTTTTTCTCAGATTTCCTTAGTTTAAGCAAAGAAAACACATTTAATGTTTGGGTTCTTTCCCCATGTTAAAGCTATGTGTAAACAGCTGAGGTTAGACTATTCTATATTAAAGACTCTATACTATTTAATAATGAGAACAAGTACTTTCATGTACTCTTTTAGAGCTTAGTGGTAGCTGAATTTGTTTACATGACCCACCCCTGCACGCAAGTCAATAAAGGAAAACCTCAGTGTGGGGCCTAAAACTACTGGAAAATGTTAGTGAATATAAAAATAAGGCAGCAATGCAGACGGTGTGCATGCACATGCATGTATGCACATCTTCACTATCAAGCATTCTGACGTGATGCCTTTAGGACTGCTTTCTAAGTTACATACAACAGTTTGGTTCCCAGTAACACTTACTTAATTTTACCAGTTACATTTGAAATTCTTGTTAGAGTGTCTGAAGACCTGTTCCCCTCCCCTTCTGATAATATTTGATTGTGCTTTTCAGAATTTTAACTCTTGCCTGGATGTTCTTTTGTAAGAAAGCGTTCAGTGAGGAAAAGCATCACAAAGGGTTCACTACTTCCTTATTGCAGTGAAAAGAAATGTATTGAGAGGGGTAATAACTGGCTAATAGTGGATGCCCAAATTGACACCATTATTCTGAAGTTAAGTGACTTCTCATCCCAAGCAGCCTGCTAGACTTCAGCGAAAATTCTCGAGTGCTGGAGTTTTGAAAATTGTGATGCTTATTGAGATTGCAAAGGGATTGGAAACTTTGAGTCACGGCTTCTAAATGTAACTCATTTTCATTTCAGCCTTATGTTCTGGGGCAAAATTTTCTTGCTTATTTTAGATTAAAATATTGCCACAGCAGCTTAAGAATATATTAGTTACATTAAAGCATACTGTCATTTTTTATAACCTTTAAGTTGGTTTTTAAAACCATACGTTCGGGTGCAAAATGACTTGATGCTAAGCAAAATGGAAGTTTTCCACTTTCCAAGATAAAAAATCTCCTCATGTAAATTGTGACATTTTGAAAGTGCTTCCAATAACAATGATCAGGAGTGGAACTCATAGATTAGCTTATTTGATAAAAGGACCTCAAATGTAAGATAGATACTTTATGTTATTTTAAAATCATAATGGAAGAGTGAAAGGGATGTTCAGCAGAGCCCAGCTGCAGTGGTCATTTAAATGATTGAGCATTATAAAAAGTATTTTTCTATTTATGACAGAGATTTCCTCCTTCTGTGTGTGCTCGGTATGTCTGTTGTATGTAGATGTGAGGGAGAACTGGGCAAAAGGTCTGGAGAGATACAGTGAGGGTTGGGAATGAAGCTGGGAACGGGCCAGATCCTCAGCTGCTGTGCACTGTCAAAAGCAGGTGAGAGTTTGCAATGCCTTGTAGCAGCCCCTCAGATTCCAGAATAGAAACCTGCTGCAAGCCTGGCACTGAAGTTGGAGAACAATAAGGACTTTCATGTCAGATGTATTTCCTGAAAGACAGGGAATCAAAGCTTTGAAGACAATGTGCGTGCATGCATGCTTGGGTTGGGGAGGAAAAAGAGGGAAGTGCTGGATGTTCTTTTTTTTTTTTTTTTTTTTAATATTATGTTCCAACGTGCAATATTGTTTTGTCTAGAAAACTTAATTACAGTATTTACAGTACAATTGGTGTATTCCTGTGAAAGTGCAGCTCTTCCAACAATAGCCCACATTTTTGAAGCTTTTAATTGCTGCATCATGACTCCTATTTTTATAATCCTGTGCTTGGCATGTGCCCATGCATGACACCACATTACCCTTTCTGTTTTTTATTTTATCTCCCTTGTTTGTCATTTAGGAAAAGAGGGCCATGCTGCCTGCAGCTCGGATTTTCCCAGTACTGGAGAGTGAAAAATCCCTCTTCTGCCTCCATGATGTTAGGACAGGACAGATTATGATGTAACCTGGAATGTGTTAGAGTCTAACTTGTTTACTTTAGAAACCAGAAATTTAACAAGAAATATTCAGAACCATCAATACCATAAGTCCCCTGAAATGCTAAGAAACCTATTTTTTCCCCCCTTGAAACTTTCAATTTTTATTAGCCACCCCCATTTTTAACATTTTGAGCTAGGCATATAAATCACCATGGGCCAGATTCTAAGATGATTTTTCTTACCCATTTGTATGGGAATTGCAGCTTAGTTTAATACAGATTTGTGATGTGACTGTTGAAGTGCTGGTCAGAATGAGTGAAAGTGCATCAGAAATGCAAATTTTACAGTAACTGCTGTACAAATGACCTTCTGCAATTGTTTTACAGCATAGTTCAATAGTCCATTTCTGTATTTTCCTTTTATCATAGGAATCTACTTGTTTAGCTGCTGTCTTCTCATCTGTGTGTGCAACTTTAAACACAAAACTCACTGGAACATGAACAATTAGTGCAAATGGGAACTTTTCTCAAAAGATATAAAGCTGGATGAATTCTTTGCACAGATTCAATCCTCAAAGAGTTTGTTTATTTATTTATTTATTTATTTTTGTAAAATCAGATGTATTTAAACAAAAATAAGAGTAATTGAATATTTGTGGTATCTACTGTTTAGCGGATAACATACCAGTTTTTATAGATTAGTTTAATAGTGTTCAATAACAGATAGAAAATGGGAAGCTTAAAGTGATATATTGTAGTCTGTGGTAAAGTTTAGCTCTTTGCCTGGATCTTCAACACACTTGAACATGATCACTTTTCAGGACTTAGCACTTCTATGGTTTGTGGCGTTTCTCTGGCTGATTATGGGGTAGCAGTTTGCCTCAGGCAAAATACATTGTATTCTTGATGGAAAAAAATGAGAATTTATTTGCATTTGTTATATCAAAAATTGTTCCAGATGAATGCACAAGCTTAGCATACCTTTAAAACAAATCAAGCTGAACTGATTGTATAAGTTGTCAGTGATGAGTAACAGCTCTCTGGTGGTGCTCAGTTGGTTGGGACTTTTGCAGTATAACAGAGGGCCTGGAGAAGCATTTTCCATTGTGCAAGTTGTGAAGACCTGAAGGAAAAGACTCTGCAGAAGTAATAACCAAAACATGCAGAGAGGTATCTAGAAAGTAAGATGGAGGCAAAACAGGGACTTATATAGCTCAGAAACTTGGCAAAATTATGCAGCAGTCCCTCCGTGTACATAAGCTTTAGTCTGTGTACAAGGTTGTTTACACCATGTAATGCTCCTTTAAGCCATGCCCACCAGGTCAGGTGAATTCCCCTGTTGTGGCCAGCTGATGGAAGGCTGCTATCTCAATGCATTGATTTCTTGCCAAAATAAATCATACTGTGTTAATTTAAAGATTACTGGTAGGCAAAACACTTCTGTCTGTGCCATCCATCTGATGATAAATGGTCTGAAAAAATAAACATATATGATTGTGAGTAGGCGGCTTGCAGCCTGAAATCCTGCAGCCTGGGAGGGTTGTGGGTTCTGCTGGTGCTAAATGCAGGGGGCAGTGGAAGAGAGCTGGAGTTAGAGACATTTCTGCAAGTAAGCTCTCCCCATTGAACAGAATCAAATGTAAAGTGTTTTGATTTAGCTCTCCACACAATGAGTAATGAATAATAAAATTTGCTTTTTATTTTTTTCCAAAAATGGAATGAGGTAAAAAATACTTTTCAGATTTATTTTGGTATAGATATGTTCATTATACATCTATTGTTAGCTCTATGTCCTTGATTGTATTATTGTGAAAGATCCTAAAACAACAGCATTATGTATAGCTCATAGAAAAGATATACAGATTGTTAAAAGGAAAGCATGAAATGCAAATGTTTAGCAGTGCTCCCATTACTCCTTATTCTGGTTAAGTTAAAGCTGAAGGATTTCCTTAAAAACCCAACTCCCTGACAGCCCTCAAGTGTGCAGTCTTGATTAGCACCTCTAACTCTTCCTCCCTACGGCTGTTCTGCTGCCAGGAAGTTTAGACCCCTACTTTGAGCTGCTGTGGGGTCCAGCACAGGTTCTGGGATATCTTATCTACAAACCTTGAAAGGTACAGTTAGTTTATATGTCCTTTTCAGCTATTTGAGAAATGAAATCTTGTCGTAACAGGTGGAGCAATTACTTGCACTTAAGCTGTGTAAAACAGGAGGAGGAGCAACAGGACAGAGAATATGCTGTAACAAGTATTTAAAATGCAGAACTTGTGAAATTTTGTATATTTTGTTTGTTTGCTACCTATATTCTGTTATTTCTTTGAGTGTTCTGCACAAACCAGAGATTAGAAAGTGTGAACATGCTGGAAGTGAAGGGAAGCATAATATTGGAAAGACATTTAAAACTGGGATAAAATATTGTTTAATGTTTATAGTAAATGTGTGGGAAGCTAAATATTTTTGTATATAGTATGTTGATGTATTTTACAACACTGCATATAAACTATGGGAATGTCATTGAAACTATGCTGACATAGGCCAGCTGAGTAGCTTGCCTATGCTTTCCCATCTCTTATATCATAAATAAAAAAATGCAACTCTTACTGAACTCAACCCCTAACTTGCAAGGGGTTGTATCTTTTGCTGGTTTCTGTGGGAGTTTTACAGACGGAGAATGTAGGGTCAAGCCCATTTTAAGAAAAAAAAAAAAAGGCAGAATTGCAGAAGAGAAAATAGCTACATAGGTGCTGTGAGTAGGTGTAGGTGGTCTGTGCTAACTGCTCTTTTATTTAAAAAAAAAAAAAAAGCAACAAAAATAAATATAAACTTATTTTCCCATATAAATAATTTGGGAAAGAAACTTAATCATCCTTCATATACATTTGTGAGGTCTTACAGTGTGCTTGTATCGGATGAAAGTTTTCCTGAAGAGTGATTTGAGCAAATTCTGATAATAAAGGTTTTGGTATTAGAATTGTGGTGTGAGGGGGTTTGGAAAAGGAAGTAGAAGACTATTCAGTGTATCTCAGATACTGGAGGGAATGGCAACCATGTGTGTGTATGGATCTGGTCCCTGCATTCCCTCCTCCCAATACCACACAGATAAATCATTTTGAGGTGAAGTGCCAGGTACATGACATAAGCTTTGGGAAGAATTAAATGTTGTACTCAATGGTAAGGAAGACTGAAAGTCTTTCATGAACCTCTGGCAAGTGCCATCTTTAGCAGTGATTTCTAAACTAACAACACTCTAAACTCTCCCTGTCTCATGTAAAAATAAATAAATGCAGGCTTTACTGTTCTACAGCAAATAATTGCTAGTAGTGTTATGTTCTGACAAACACCCACTGCAGACACAACAGAAAGCAGTGTAAGAAAGCAGTTTTGGCATCCTAAACAGAAATTGTCTCAGCATCGGATTACTGCTTTGCAAATGAGCAACATATTCTTTTCTTCTTTTTCCTGTGGTCTTGTGGTCTAATATTAATACATTTTCAAATGGAAATTCAGTGAATTAGATCATTTTTCCTCTGTCTGTATCCCTTGGGATATCCAACCTATGTTGCTTGTTTTAATTAAATTACCACATTTTCCATATGATTAAATGCCTGAATAATGAAGACTTATGGGAGTCAATTTTAATGCACCATACATGAATATGAGCAATGAGGGGAAACATATGATTTTACTCTAAGTCAAATCTTTTAGTAGCAAATGTTTCACCTCATCTCTTTTCAGATCAAATGCAAGTCGCAGAACAGTAAAATATAAAATGCAGTATCAGATAGTGCTATTCAATGAGTGGGAGCAAATATTCTCTGAAGGATATTTTTGGCTAATGGGAGAAAACCAGAAAAGGGTGTAGTGTATTCTGGGGACAAGCCAGGCAAGCATTTTCAAAGTTATGGTATAGTATACATTGGGTTTGGGGGCAAGGGCCACTAACCATATAGTTAGGTATGTCTTGGAGCAATTTTAAAGTGACTCAGTGTCTTTTTTATTTCATTTAGGGTTGCCTGGGGTTTAAATCAGGACAGGATTTGGCTCAGCATGGACAGGTACTGGGTATCTAATCTAAAAAACATGCCAGTGATTTTTAAGCACTGAGTGGTAAATGCAGGCAAGAAATCAGGAGCTTCAAGTGGGGAAAAATGTATTTTAAGTCTACTTCATTTTAGTTGCAGGAAATAAAGTACTGCAAGTTTTTTGCTAGGTAAGTTGTTTCACTGTATTAGGCTTGGTAGGAAGAGAGTGTTATGTGAGAGGATGGAAGTGGCATAGACACTCAGCACTGCATGAGGAGAAACTTACTAGCATTGTAGAAATAGTTGGGTATAACTGAAGAATGGCTTTCTGTGCTGACCTTCAAGCACTTAAATACATGGCTTTATTAAATTTTAAAGGCTGATAAGAAACTGTAAACTGTTTTATGAGGAAATCCAACTGTGAAAGGAGAGAATAATGTCTGTCATATTGCCTGTAGTGACCCTCTCAGTCTCTACTCCTTGAAAAAGCATTATGTATTCTAGGTAATGTCCTGCTTTGTTTCCAGTTGGTGACCCCCCAGTCTACAGAATCATCTTTTGGTATTTTCCCCTGCAGGGCTGACCTCATAGTTTGCATCAGGTAACTTCATCTCAGTTCTAGCATTGGAGTGTCAGGCTATTAGACTCTTTCCTCCTCTTTCATACTAACTTAACAAACTGATAATTCTTTCAAGTTTTGAGTCATTAAGAAATTCTTGTATTAACAGACTGATAAAAGACATTGTGGAATGTCATTATTCAGTGTCATCGAATGTCATTCAATGTGGAATCTCAGACCTTTAGAAATTTCATTTTCACTTTCTGTTCAAACCAAGATTATCAGTACAACTAAATAGCATCTCCACTTCAGCTGTTTTTTTATGTGCTTTTAAATTTCAGAAACCTGCCATAGTTTTCAATTAAGGGCTTATTCATGAGATGCTCTCACTACCTGGAGGATTGATTAGCTTGCCAAAGAAAGCTCTGCCTGACTTTGCCTCCTTTCATTAGGTCCATGCTGCATTTGATGAAATTTTTCACTTTTTTGTTTTGCATGTATTAAATTTTTTATTATTATTATTTTAAATCTTGAATTCTGTTGAAGCAAAGCTTGTGTGTCTATAGGTGTCTCTGGTTTATTTTTTTCTGTTCTTTTTAATGATAGCCACTCCACTAGTCACTTCCAGGTGTTATTTCACTGCTACTGTGTGGTTTTACTGGCATATTAGATCTAAAACTTTTTCAATTTCTTCAGTCTTTGAAGGAGTTGAAGGCAGCAGAGAGATTAAGAAGTGGCTAAAAGAACAGGGGATAAGGAAATGCTGTATTGCTTTTCAAATCTGAGAGGAATTATTGATTCAGAGTCTGGGACAAATTTCCTTTGCTAAGATAGGAAGGAAAAAATCAATGATAAACAGACACCAGCAGACTGAAAGCATTTAAATGATTTTCCCGAAAGATTGCCCCATATCTTTATTTTACTTCCCTGTGGTGGTTCTTTGAGACACACAAGACTTGCTGAAGTTGTTTTTCAACAGAGGATGCATAACATCTCTTTGAACATTGGTGATGCAGGGTAAAATACTTTTTGTTCTGGTATGACATATCCTGAGAGTCTTGCTTTGTACTGTGATACATGTCTTCAGGAAAGGTAGCTTGTTTTCTCCTCCTAGATTAGTTTGTGGTATTTTCTTCATGTTAACCCTTTACAAAATCATTCACACTCCTGCAATGGGGTGAGTCTCCACTGTTGTAATACTGTCTTAAAATTAAGTTCTGCAGAGAACTGTATTACTATGATGTGGTGAGGTGGGGTAGGAAAGGACCTTTTTCATTTTTCTGCTCTCCATTTGTTATTAGCAGGTTTGTTGGATCAGTCACCCTCCTTTACTTGCTCTTGTTCTCTTTCCATACAGCTCACACTTTCCTTCCCACAATCTGTCATCCTACTTTCCTACCAAACAGAAAAGAACCATTTGTTATAACTTTAAAAATAAATGTTAAACAACCAGAAGTAAAGAAAGTTAACAGACGGCCAAATAGTTTTCACTGATGATCTTTCCTGATCTTTGTCCCACTGCATAAATAAGGGAATAACTAAACTACCACCACATTCAGAGATGAGCAAAATGCATATGTGAATGTTTATTAGCTTTCTACTTCAGAGATTTATTTCCCTACTTGTTCAAATATTTTGAGAAACGTACTGCAGCCCTTAAACACAAAAAGCATACATTTCATATACCGTTCTAGTTCCTACTCTTCTATGGATGAAATCAAGGGTATTCTGGCCTTGAAGCACCAGCATTTCCAGCCTGACCTCTGGATGCTTGCTGAGCAGCAATGAAAGAACTTTGAGGAAAAACAAGTGTGTTTCACAGATGCGGTTAATAAAAAGATATTTCTGTCCCCCAGGTTTCTGCATCTCCACAAAACATAACTGCCAATTTCAAAACTAAGCTTTAAATATCCCATCAATAGATAGGCTGGGAGTGAGAAGTTATAGGTGATTATGTTAATCAGGGAGGACATCATGGAAGAGCTGATCATAGAAGATAACGGGTTTAAGTCATTCCCAGGTGATTCAGTTTGATTTTGGTGTGAAGATTCACCAAAACAGATCAATAATTAAGTAAGATAAAGACTTTTTGGTTGGTTTCAATTGGTTGAAAATTCCAGGGATGCAAAAGCCAATAGCAAGTACTTTGGGGAGGGCACCACTGTTAGACTGATGTATAAACATTTCAATAAAGGTATTAGAAAAAGTAACTAGTGACTCCACAGGAAGTTAACAAAGGGATTAATGAGCATGGAAAAGTCAAAACTTTGGTGCTGGGTAGATTTATTAATGGGATGTTATAAAACTACTGCCTGCTGTAGTAGGATCTCTCTGAAAATCTCTTACATGATGTGGTTGTAGAAAGGGTAAACAGCATCCTAAGTTATGACAAGTGGTGTTTTCAGTAGAAATATGAAGTAGTTTTAACCCCCCAAGTATGTAAGTCTGACTTGCAGCAGTGTGTGCAGTTAGTACAATTCTAGTTACCTTTGTCTGTTAATTAAAGGACATGTGGTCAAGGAGAATTTTAGGG